ACATTACTGAAAGTAATGGAGAGTCTGTTTTTTCCCTGATACTCTAAACTCTTTTCCTCGTAGGCTTAATCAGGCCTGTTTATCTTCTAGTGTCTAGCAAGATTCAGAATTCCTCTACCCAGAATGTTCTTTTTCTATAAACCTGGTATTTAGACTGTATTACAAATGCATGGATAACACATTATGTAGTGTACTTTATACGTTCTATCTATCAAATGGCCCCATCACATCCTCCAAAACAATTTTAATTTACTTTAAAAGTCGGTAGAATCTGAATACTAACAAAAAGGTTGTGCTAGTAGTCGGTTTTTACTCTCATGAAACGAAGCTTGCAGGATAAAGGAAAAGTCCACTTTCATGAACAGGGGAATGTGTTGGATATGTCCGACTGTTCATGCGGTGCTGCATGATGCGTTTACCTCCATCATTCATTCATCTTCAGTAAATGTTTTGTTCTGTAAAGCAAGTAGGGATGTAGTCAAGAGTGCCATTTTCAAACCAAAGACAAGTCCAAGATCAGGTCTAGCCAAGATCTAGTCCAGACTGAGTCATAGGGGTTCGAGGCCAAATCCAAGGGCGATTCAAAATAAGTGAGACTGATTCAAGATCAAGGCCAAAAACCATCAAATCTTTTACTTCAACTAGTTGGATTCATTGCACCATCATTGCGCCAGTGATTTGGATTTTCTAGAAGAAGGAATTACTTCTTGTCAAACTTTCAGAATGCAAAAAAACCACAACACAAACAAATTCTCAGTCAAGACCAAGACACAGTCAAGACCCGTCTTGAGACCGGACTTGTGTTCAATGGCGTTAATATCAGGGGTCAACTGGTGAACCACTGTCCGGATGTGGACCCAGCGATATATTTCACATATTCAAAAATACTGTCAATATTGTTTTCTAAACATGAATCATCTCGGCTTCTGCAGCAGGTCCCCTGTGGCTGTTTATTCAATCACATGCATTTATGGAAATTGTTTAGCTGAAGGCAGCTCATAAGACCAGAGAGAGCTAGAGAACTCAGAAAGGAAAGTTTTTCCTTTTCGTTTATCCTTTCTAGTCTGATTATTGAAGTAAATGACATGTTAAAAAAAAGTCAATGGCGAAAACAGAATGTTTAAAGACAGACAAGTACGTTTTTATTCTACTGCTTTAAGTTTAAATTATTAATATGTTTATATTTTGGGAAATACGCAGAACAGCCATAACATTAAAACCACTGACAACTGAAGTGAATAACGTTGATTATCTCATTACAGTGGCACCTGTCAAGGGGTGGGATATATTAGGCAGCAAGTGAAGTTCTTGAAGTTGACGTGTTGGAAGCAGGAAAAATGGGCAAGTGTAAAGATCTGAGTGACTTTGACAAGGGCCAAATTGTGATGTCTAGACGACTGGGTCAGATCATCTCCAAAACAGCAGGTCTTGTGGGGTGTTCCTGGTATGCAGTGGTTAGTATCTAACAAAAGTGGTCCAAGGAAGGACGACTGGTGAACCGGTGACAGGGTCATGGGCGCCCAAGGCTCACTGATGCGCGTGGGGAGCGAGGGCTAGCCCGTCTGGGCCGGTTCTACAGAAGAGCTACTGTAGCACAAATTGTTGAAAAAGCTAATGCTGGCTCTGATAGAAAGGTGTCAGAACGTACAGTGCATCTCAGCTTGCTGTTTATGGGGCTGCGTAGCTGTCAGAGTGCCCATGCTGACCCCTGTCCATCGCCAAAAGCACCTACAATGGGCACGTGAGCATCAGAACTGGACCATGGAGCAATGGAAGAAGGTGGCCTGGTCTGATGAATCCTGTTTTCTTTTACATCATGTGGACGGCCGGGTGCGTGTGCGTCGCTTACCTGGGGAAGAGACGGCACCAGGATGCAGTGTGATGCTCTGGGCAATGTTCTGCTGGGAAACCTCGGATCCTGGAATTCATGTGGATGTTACTTTGACATGTAGCACCTACCTAAACGTTGTTGCAGATCAGGTACACCCCTTCATGGCAACAGTACTCTCTAATGGCAGTGGCCTCTTTCAGCAGGATAATTCGCTCTGCCACACTGCAAAAATGGTTCAGGAATGATTTGAGGAACATGACAAAGAGTTCAAGGTGTTGACTTGGCCTCCAGATTCCCCAGCTCTCAATCCTATCGAGCATCTGTGGGATGTGCTGGATAAACACGTTCCCACCTCGCGACTTAAAGGATCTGCTGCTAAAGTCTTGGTGCCAGATAGCACAGCACACCTTCAGAGGTCTTGTGGAGTCCATGCCTCGACGGATCAGAGCTGTTTTGGTGGCACAACTGGGACCTACACTATATTAGGCAGGTGGTTTTAATGTTATGGCTGATCAGTGTACATTGTAACCAAATCTGTTAGAAAATATCCCAGGCAGGTTTAATAAAATCCGAACTGGTGAGATTGGTCAAACTTTCTGTCAGGGAGTTTGAGTGGGATTAAAAAAACCATCATGCACACTTCTAGCCAAAAAGAGATAACTTGTCATCATTCAAGCATGTCAGGTCACTTATCAGTCACTTATTAAACAAAGAATTTTACAAGAATTGCAAGATTAATTCCTCACGCACGTCCAGTCCTACTAACGAGACTTAATGAAATGTATAACTACATAAAGGTGATACTTTCTCATGCTGTACTGAGACAAACAATCCCCCTCATATAACCTCACCCCTTCGCAGCCACACCCCCTTTCTGTCACACTGAGCAAACGTTCACTAAATAATAACCCTCACCTGTTGCTCAGTATTAATAGGAATAATAAGTATGCCTTTATTAAGAAATGATTTTTAAATGGAACTGAATATATGAATTGATATGACACACGACGTGACACTACATGGCATGCTACACGCCTGATTTGAACAGGCCTTCAGGGTCTTAGCAGGCCTACGCTGCTCATCGAGCTCAAAGATTTGCGTCCCCATTAACACACTGCAGGTCACTTACATGAATTTACCTTATTAATGTGTCTAATGGCTTAAATTAAATGCATGTGGAATGTATTAAGTCTTATTTAAAGCTATATAAAAAGCTCAAACCGGCACATATTCACAAAGATAGTGTGAGCAGTTGAGCCAACAAAATCAGGAAACAGCTCTCGCTCGCTATAAACCAGAAAAGACTCTGTAAAAAGATCTCACAGTGTTTAGGGAGTGGATAATCAAACTAAAAATAAAACTGCCAGAGAAATCCAATTCAGCTCAGTTAAATTCATTTCAGTGATTTTATTTGTATAGTATTTTTAACAATGAACACTGTCACAAAGCAGCTTTACAGAAATATATAAATTCCGGATATAGATTTTAAATGTATAAATGTATCCCTATTCACAAAACAAGCAGCAAAATACCTAAAAAATACTTAGAGGCAAGTGGGATTAAAAAAAACACATTTATATCTCATTCAGAAACATCATTTTTATTTTTTTTTTTAATGAATATCTTATGGTTTTTGGCCAGTTTTTGTTTTGGTTCATAATGGAGAAACTTTAATTGTCTGTTTCATAATTTTGACGAAAGGGTGTACAAACTTTAGGACTCGACTATTCTCCTGAATAATAAATCAACTGAAAACTCTGATCTCCACAATGTGAAGTCAGAATGAACCTCCTGCTTCTGTATGTACCCGAACTAAAGGAAAATCTTAAATCCCAGTGATCTGCGATGATCAATATGAACAGTATGATCAACGTTGCCGGTCCTGATGGCACACTGTGAAATTAAAGTTTAATCTTTAAAGATATTTGGGGAAACAGGAAGTTCCTCTGTGTTTCCTATGATGTACAGTTCTTCTCTTCACTTTTTGTCCCATGAGAAGAAAAAAAAAAAGAAAAATCCAGGCGAAATCCTTATTCTAATAGTCTCAGAGCTCAAATGACTCAAAAGGAAAGTGTGGTGAAATCCAGGCCTTAATTACGCTGGAGCTCGACTAAAATCTCCCCGAGGGAAAAAGACAATCTCAGCATTTCTCTACACTCATAAAATGTACAGCGACTCGGAAAAGGAAGCTGGGTAACACTTTCTCTGGCGGCTGTATCTATAATGACCTTTAAATATAATATTCACAACATGTTTGCATACTGTATAGATATTTTTTCATTTAGTACTTTTCCTGAACTAGCATGAAACAGCGTACTTCTTTTTTTAAACGTACTGCAGCATGTGTTTAAGCTAGGGATTGCACCGTTTACCCGCTGACTAGCAATAGTCAACTAGTTGTCTTTTCCATTGTTAAAGCAAATCATGTTTCAGGACATTACTATTTTCACGCTGGTTTATTAGTTCAGCAGAGAACATGTGTTTTTTCTTCAATTAGCATCCATACACAGGCTACAAATGACATTTCCAGCTACACTCTTAACAACGAAAATAAGTCAGTGCAATAAATGTGCAAATAATAATTGTATGTATCATATTACACTGTTTAATTATTCATTGTACATTTCGTTTTATTCTGAAACTGAGACTACACAGCAAGGAAGCTCGTGTCTGTCAACAGAGTCCTTACAGCTCATTGAGCGACCTGATTGCAGCGAAGGTGTGATGTCTACAGCAGGGTCTGGAAGGTTTTTTTTTGTCATGTTCAACCCCTGTGTAGGTAGCATCCAAAAACCAGTCTGAACCGGTTTTCTGAAATAGCTGAGTGGAACTGGACAGTGACATGCGACCCGTCGCTCTTTAACACCGAGCTAAACACTGGTTAATAACACTATTTAACTCTGAGTTTCTTTGCTATTATAATGCATATAGTAAACAAGTATAAACTGAAATGTCATTTTCGTAATTAATTATTACATTTATAACATAAATGTTATGAACATGCCGCTGTTCTTTCAGCTGCTCCTGGTAGGGGTCGCCACAGTGGATCATTGGTCCGCATGTTTGACTTGGCACAGGTTTTATCCCGGATGCCCTTCCTGACATAACCCTCCCATTTTATCCGGGCTTGGGACCAGCACTGAGAGTACACTCCTAGTGGCTGGGTTGGTTCCCTGCCCGGGAATCAAACACGGGCTGCGGCAGTGAGAGCACGGGAGCCTTAGCAACTAGACCACCAGGGACTAAACGTTACATAATTTTATTCATTGAATTATGTATATATACAAGAAGTTGTTTTTTTTCTTTACTCTGGAGCTCTCAGGATTCATGCTGTGCAAAAGGCCACTGATGCTACACGCTTTGGTCTGTTTGTAAACAGGGAAGCATGGATGTGTCGCTAGAGCGGAGTCTCAGGCCGCTGATGCTGACACACGAGGTGCATAAAAATGAATACTCATGAACACTCATCACTCTCAGCCCTTCAGATAAGCTACGGATTTTTACTGCAATGACCAGATGTTTGCATGTGATATGGACCTGCTGGAAAGGACTTAAAAAAAAAAAAAAAGATTAAAGAAGTGACAATCTGGCAGCCACCAGTTCACACTGAGGTTGGAATTAGAGGTGTGCATTGGGACTGAGATCCTGTGGGGCCTGGCAAAAAAAAAAAAAAGAAAAAATGCAGGAGGAGGTGTTTTTTACTTTTTACTCTCACGAAACAAAGAAGCCACATTCATAAACACGGGAGTGTAGTGGATGTGCCGGATTACTCATGTAGCACTGCATGACGCATTTACCGCATTCATGCATTCATTCATTCATGTTCTGTAACTGCTTTATCTTGGCTAGTGATTCTGTGGTTAAAATTACTCATTTGTTTAAAATCTGAGAAACAGAACTAACTAAATTCATTACAAAATATTGCAGGTGTGTACAAACAAGACTAATAACTGCAGGAGTGGGCAGAATTGGTCAGAAATCCATCAGAAGTGTGTGTGTGGGGTTGGTTGGTCAGACTTTCTGCTGGACAGACAGGATTGGTTAGAATTCCATCAGGACTGGGTGGGATTGGTCAGAATTCCTTCTGTAGTAAGTGAGATTGGTCAGAATTCCCCCAGAAGAGGGTGGGATTGGTCAGAATTGCTTCAATAGCAGGAGGGATTTTTTTGAAAGTGGAATTGGTGGAATTGGTCAGAATGCCTCCAGGATAGGCAGAAATGGTCAGAATTTCTTTGTGAGTGGATGGGTTTGATCAGAATTCCTTCTGGTGTGAGTGGGATTGGTCAGAA